CTCAGTCGTTGCTGATGGAAATGTAAAACGGTGCAGCCACTGTAGAAAACAGTTCAGCAGTTCCTCAAAAAATTGAACATAGAATTACCATACAACCCAGCAATCCCAATCCCAGGTATAGACCCAGAAGAAGCAAAGATAAGGAATACAAACAAACCCGTACACAAGGGTTCACTGCAGCGCTTTTCACAAGAGCCAAAAGGTGGAGACCATTGAAATGCCCACCCACAGATGAATGGATAAACACAACGCGGGACATGCACACCACGGTATATAAGGCAGCCGTAAGGCGAAATAAAGTCCTGGTACATGGCCGCAACATGGATGAACCTTCATGTTGAGCGAAATACGGTATGATCTCACTTATATGAAATAAGCAAATATATAGACACCAAGATAATCAGTGGTTACCAGAGGTGCGAAGGAGCCCTGGCAGCACAATGGTTAAGCAGTCTGCTGCTAACCAAAAGGTTGATGGTTTGAACCCACTAGCGGCTTCGAGGGAGAAAAGACCTGGCAGTGTGCTCCCTTAAAGATTACAGCCTGAGAAACTCTGTGGGGCAGCTCTACTCTGTCCTGTAGGTGGCTATGAGTGGGAATCACAACAGTGACAACCGCTGGGGACGGACAGGAAAAGGAGGAGCTTTTGCTTAGGGTGCATTGAGTTTACGTTCCTGGCGGTAGAACACTTGGAAAAGGATTCCAGGAATGGTGGCACAACATCAAAAATATAACCAACGTCCCCAACTTGTAAAAGTGAAAGTTGTGTTGGCGAATGTTTTGTTGTATATATTTTCACCACGCACACAAAAAAGCAATACCAGTGATGCCTGGTGCCTGGGGAGAAATCGATGAAATTTAGGACAAAAAATGGTTAGCTCTACTCAACCAACACTTACCACGGGCCTGGGGTGGGTGGGGGCGTGGAGGGGCTGTGAGAGAGGGCCTGGGCTGATCCTGGGAGGGGTGAGCTGAGGTGAGAGAAGACAGGGGATCAGGTGTGGGGCCGCAGTGACCCCAGACCCTGGGCCAGTGGTAGGGGTCAGCTCTCCCAGCCTCCTGCCACCCAGGCTCCTCCTCCCCCACCCCAGGCCAGCCCTCAGGTCAGAGGCAGCCCCTCCCCCACATACCTAGAGGCCTCTGCAAGGCAAGAGCCCTCTGGGTGCCTCTTCAGTGGCCTCGGTGCCAGGTGACCGTTGCCTGGAGACAGGTTGCTGGGCCACCACTGTTGTTTCCCGGCAGAGGGTCGGCACCACCTTGTCGGGCAGGTAAGAGGGTGGTGGGCCCAGCAGCTGGGGTCCTGCTCGGGCGTGAGGGCTTGGCCCTGCCCTCCTGTCCCTCTCCTGGCTACCAGGGACCCTGTGGCTCTCACCTGAGGGACTTAGACCAGGAGCAGAGGACGTCGGGTGTGGGTGGGGGGCACAGAGCCTGGGGGGAGCAGCCCAGAGGGGCCAAGACTCTCTAAGGAGGGCACAAACAAGTCCTCACTGTGGTGAGACCCCCGTGCCACAGTTTCCAGGGGCTCCCACCCCCCCATCCAGGGCGTGGCTTCCAGGGCGTGGGGGTCGGTCCCCTGGAGGCAGCTCGAGGGCCTGGTGAGGGCCTGCCATCCAGACCCTCGAGAGGACGGGACCCCGTGCCAGAACCAGGCCTGGCTCCCCAGAGCCAACCCCAGTAGGGCGGCCCCTTGGAATCTTCAGAGACCCCCGGACCACCCGTCCCAGCCAGGAGGCACCAGTCCCTCTGGACAATGTCAGCCCCTTGTTAGTGCCCCGCTGCCACACGCGTAAAGTGTCCTTTGGGAGATTCGCACAGCTCACCGATGTTTCTTTTCACTCTCTGGGACACACTCTCCAGGTTCACAGATACCCTCAGCTCCTCTTTCCAGGGTGCCGTTTCCTGCTGGGTGTTTTACCTGACTAGGTACAGCCTTTGTTTTAAAATCAATTATCCAGGAGTGAGATTTCTGCCCAGACCCTGCAGCCTCATCCTTCACCTCATGCTCTCAGAAGTATTTTCTTGCTCTTCTGTAGCTGTTAGTAAGATCCCATTATGGGACCGCCCCCCCACCACTGCTGGGCTCAGTCCCCACGGCTCCCTACTGTAAAAAACACCTCAGCGAGCATCCTGAACATCTTCGCATGTAAAGCTCTGTTCTGTATTTAGAAGTACATCCTTGGGAGATTCCTGAAAGTGCAGTGACTGAATCGGAGTGTGCCCAGCGGGGCTCCCTGACACCCCACAGATGCATTCCTACCACCACCCCCTGCCCCCAACTCGGCCAGTGATATACAGACGTCACATTCTACCACGTCCGCGCACGCCCAGGGTCTTCCTTTTCATCTTTGTTCACTTGAATGACAAGAAATAATGCCTCATTGATTGTGAATTTACTTTTTTGTGAAAGTTATAAATATACCATCCAGTTGGCCTCCACCTCATCTTGACCCCGGGCACAGTGGAATGAAACACTGCCCGGTCCTGCGCCATTCCCAGGATAGGTTGTAGATCAGACCATCGGGAACCATAGGATTTTCATTAGCTGATTCTGAGAAGTAAATCGACAGGCGTTTCTTCCTAGTCCGTCTTAGTCTGGAAGCTTCACTGAAACCTGTTCAGCACCCTAGCAACACGAAAGCCTCCACTAACATGAGTGGTGGCTGCACATGAGGTACATTGGCTAGGAGTCGAACCTGGGTCTCCCACGTGGAAGGCGAGAATTCTACCACTGAACTACCGCTGCCCTCTATACCAAGTTAGAAAGGTCAAATAGAACCATAAGGCTTACGAAGAAAAAGAATATTCTCTGTCCGCCCCTCTCACCCTCTCCCACCCCCAAGGTGACTCTTTCCAGCTGTTTCTTCTTCTAATTTACGGTCCTATTTCTAATTAGAGCCCTTACGTTGCTATTTCTTGCATTTCCACAGCTGGAGTTATCTCTTGACTTTGGACTGTGCCTGACGAGGGGTTTGCTCTCTCGCACACAGCCGGGTTTATATTACAACCATACAAATAATGCTCACAGCCAAGCACACAGCTGACCCTGATGAGAGGAAACCACTTGTATTTTCTCTGGGGTTGATAATCACCCTGTTTCTGCATCTGCTTGTTTTTCTACATACTTATCACTGATTGTCCCCAAGCTCAGCGACATTGCCACCTCTTCTCCCTTGTCTTCACCATCATCATCATCATCATCCGCACCATCACCACTAGCACTCCTGTGTGCTCAGTATACACCAGGCGCTGTCCTAAGCCATTATGTGTCTAAACTTCATCTTCCCAGCAACCCTATCAGGCTGCCACCATTGTCCCCACCCCACATGCCAGTGAGGGAACCAAGGCACAGAGAAAGCAGGCAAATCACCTAAGTCACCGCTGAAGTGGGCGCCAGCCCCTGAACAGGCAGCATCACTGTGCTAGCAAAAGTCACCCTCCGGGGGCCTTTTCCTGCCTCCTCACCTGGCTAGCCAGGTGTGGCCCAGCTGTGAGCCCTGCAGACACCCTTCAGCCGCCCCCGAGGCTCTGCACTGCTGTGACCCGGGCCTCTGCTGTCCCCACAGAAAGGCTGGAGGGCGCTGCTTGACCCTGGGTCGTCAGACCCCCGTGGCGTATCTCCAGGCACTCCATGGGTGATTTCCTCCCTCCATCTGGTCCACCAAGTCTCGCGTCTCGGGAACACGTGTCCTTCAAATCCCGGTTTCTTGGATGGGGCTTTAGTTTCCGACTTGAACTTCCAACCCTGAAGTTTAATCTCCACAAACTCTTTCTTATTCTATTGCTTTAATGGTGCCCCATTCTCTTCTAGGGGGACACCATCTCCTCCCTCTCCAGGGCACATGCTGATTGTGGTTGGGGGTTGTCATGTCAGCTCTCTCTCCTCTTCCTCTGTGTGAGTGTGTCTGTCCACGTGTGTTTGTGTGTGTGTGTGTGTATGCATATGTCTGTGTGTGTCTACGTGTCTGTGAGTGTGTCTGTGTGCTTGTGCCACCTCTTGCTCACACCTGGGCAGCCTCCGTCAGCAGCCTGTGGGGCCCGGGCAGCCACACACTCAGAGTGAAGCACGAGCAGTCACAAGAAGCTCCGCATGTCAGGAGCTTTGCTGTGGGGCCAAACGCGCTTCCCGGAGCCTGCCTGCATACCCGCTAGTGCCAAGCCAAGCTCAGATGTTTCTCTGTTCTCAGGGGTAGGCCCTCAAGCGCCACAGCTCCGTCCAACCACAGTTCCCAGCACGCTTGTCTTCCTGCTGGCTGCATACTCCTAAACCTTCAGAAAGTTTACACTTCTACCCGGTCACGATGTCTCGGGTCAGTTCTTGAGATAGCTTTCCTGCTCTAGGGCTCTGACCACAGTCCTGGCCTCGTTTCTCTTCTGCCGGCCCCTGCCCGCCCCCCGCTTGATATGGCCCCCTCTGCAGGGCAGCAGACAGAGCAAAAGGGACCCCAGTTGCCAACCAGGCCACGTCTCATCCCCCACCCAGCAGCCCAAGAAATGAGTTTGTTCGCTGGTGTTAAGCAGAAGGAACCATAGAGAAACTGGCTAAAAATTCCCCAAAATATGCCAGAGTCAGCAACAAAGGAAGAGGGGCTTAGGAGAGGGGGCATTTCAAGGGGCCAGGACCTCAGGTGAGGATGGCAAAGCTGTCCAGGGGGAGCTGATGTGATGGGAGGGGGCTCAGCACTGCCCGGCCCACCTCAGACAGGGCTGAGACCAAGCCCTCGGCTGACGCTGGTGCTCAGGCTTGGCACCCCCTTCCTTACAGCCATTGCCGAGGCAGTGTGGAGCGACGCCCAACGGACAGTCTCGCCAGGGGAGGCCAAGCCCAGGGCCAACAGGATGCGGACACGGCCCTGCCCCCTCGGGGCACCATTCCCCATGGGCCCCAAGGAGACCGAAGTCAGCCGCAGGCCAAGGCCCCTGCCCCAGACCCAGAGAGGCGCCCGCCCCAAGGCAGGGCGGGCCTAACCACGGGCCAGGGCCAAGGGCCAGGACCCCAGGCAGCCCTCAGGCCCCGCAGGAGGGTGGGGCCTGAATCTGTTCTGAGGGGCCCCCGTCCTGGTGCCCCCATGCCCGTAGCCCATGGCCGCACCCGGTTCATCCACCGTCGTGGACCCCCGACACGAGCCCAAGCCTCCACCAAGAGAAGCAAGAGAACCAGGGTGGCAGGGGTCCGGCGAGGCCGCCCCCGAGCGCCAGGTGAATACAAGTCAGCCTGTGAAGGCGTCCCTCTCACCCAGGGAAGGCCCCGGGGCCAGGTGGGGCTGCAGCCACACCCTTGTCACACTCGGCCAGGATCAGCAGCCATGCATGACAGAAGCCACCTGGGTGTGAGGGTGCGCTGGGCCAGCTAAGCAGGATGGGGGTGTGCACTGCCCCTCCTGTCCCCAGCTGTGTCCTGAGGCCCCACAGCCCCTCGTCCATGCTGACCCGGAGCAAGCTAGAGGATGCCATACCATGGCAGCTCCTCTCTCTGCCAGACAATGGCCCCTGGGTCACATGTGACATCATCATGGACATTGTGACTCCTGCCCCTCCTGAGGATGTTCTGTCCCAGCCCCAGCCTTACACCTTAGTCCCCCTCCCACGCCCCAGCCGTGCCCTACTGGTGAGGAGGGTGAGGGTACCCTGCCCAATGCTGTGTAGCTCATAGGGAGGAAGGCCCCAACAGTGGTGCTGCTTGGCCTGGTCACCTCTCTGTCTTCAATGCAGAGCATCCTTAGCAGCCCTGCACCCCTGTCCCCAGATGGGAGATGGGCCTCCCTGGCCGGGTCTGAGCCTGTGCTGAGGTTCATGCCAAGACTGGGGGTTGGGGGACACCCAGGAGGTGCTAGGAATGGTAGGGACCTGGGTGGCAGGGCCATGTGGACACCCCCACACATGGGCTGACCCCACCCCATCCCCAGGCTGGGCTCATGAGAGATCAATGGGTAGCAGACGAGAGGAGGGGCTCCTGCGTCAGCTGAGCCAGTTGGACCATGATGCAGGTGGGCAGGGTCCAAGGGCTCAGAGCTGGAGGCGAAGGGGGAAACTCCACAGGGCAGGACTCACCCTCTAACTGCCCACTGCCCACAGAACTCCTGGAGGATGCTGATGCCACCAGGCCCCTGGCCGCGCCCCTGGAGGAGAAGCTGCTGGAGGGGGAGAAGCAGTCACCCAGTGCCGGGCAGGGCCCCTTCTTCTACATCGGGGGCACCAATGGGGCCTCCATGTGAGGGTGGCCTGCTCTCTCTGCCCCCGGGCCCCATGCCCCAGGGCCCAGCCTCAGCTCTGGGTGCTGCCTGCAGTCCCAAGTCCTCCTCTAGGGTCCCTATACTCCTCCCTCAGAGCCCCCAGGCCCAAGTCACTGCTGTCCCTCCCCTGAGATCCCCACTGCCCCCGGGGTCACCACACACTTCCCCCAGGGTCCCCAGGCCTAGGTCACCACTGCCCTTCCCCCAGGGTCTCCACACCCCTCTCCCAGGGCCCCCAGGCCTGAGTCACTGCTGCTTCTCCCCTGCAGAATCAGCGCCTACTGCAGGAGCAAAGGGTGGCATCGCACCCAGGACAGCCGGCGGGAGGACTACAAGCTCAAGTGGTGCGAGGTCAAGAGCCGGGACACTTACTGCAGCTTCCGGGAAGGTAGTTGGGGGGGCACCCTGGCTGAGACCCAGCTGGGAGCCTGCAGGGGTCTCCTGGAGAGCAGGGTGAATGGAGTCAGGCCGCCATACAGAAAGGCCACAGTGGCCAGGGTGGCTTCAGTGGTCAAGGTAGTAAGGGTGGTCAAGTCGGCAAGGTAGCCATGGCCGCACAGCGGCCACCTCATGCTTCCCAGGGCTCTGTCGTGCTAGGTGAACAGCTCCTCTACCAGCTCCCCAACAACAAGCTTCTCACCACCAAGATTGGGCTGCTCAGTGCGCTGAGGGAGTACTCGCGGGTCATGAACAAGATCAACAAGACGTCTCTGTCCACCCAAGACAAGTAAGCCCATCCCTGCCCCTAGGCATTGGGCCAGCTCCAGCCTCCATCCACCTACCCACTTCCCCACACATGCCTCCACCTTTGTCCTTCACGTAGGAATGCTCAGCCCACCTGTCCCACAACTCATCCCAAACCCATCCACCTGCCTCCTGCCAGCCCCAAACGTCAGTCCGGCACTGCTCTTGACTGCCGTCCTCCTGCACACCCACCACCCACCTCATTACCACCGACTCCACCCACCTCTCCCATTCTACTTGTCTACCCACAGATCCACTCCCGTACCTCCCACCCACCAGCCCATCCTGTCTCCATCCCCCAAACACCATCCTTCCCCATCCACCCTCCCCACGCCACAGCCCACCACAGAGCTACCCAGGATATCATCCCATCAGTCATTCCCTGGCTCACCCCACCACTGCCATCCAAGTGCACATCCACACCTGATCCCTCCAAGTATTCATCTACCTAGTCACCTGCCTCTCCATCCACTCATCCATTCACTTGCCCATACTTTTATGCATCTACCCACCCAACCAACAAGCCACCCTCTACTACCACCCTACCCACCTGTCCACCAAGGCAGGCAGCCGTGTGTCCATCCACCACCTGCTCATTACACGGCAGCATCTTTCATCCACCTGCCCACTCATCCACCTACACCCTGTCTGCTTCCACCCAGAGCAGCTCGGGTCTAGTCTTCTCCATGTATCTTCTCATCCACTGGACCTGCTGTCCATCCATCCATCTATCCATCCGCCCATCCATCCAAAATCCATTCATCCAACCACACACTTCATCCAAAATCCATCTATCCACCTGCTCATCCACTCATCCACACACATCCCTATTTTATCTCCATGCCCCCAGCCATCCTCCACCTCTCAAGACCCCCACCCATTCATCCCAAACATAAGTGAGCTGCCCACTCAAGCCAGGTCCTGTGTCCCTGGGGTACGGATCTGGAAAGGACACAGCACAAACCCATGAGGAGATTCCATGAGCTAGCCCAGGATGCCTCCAGCCACAGAAGTAGAAGCACTTAGATCGACCAGGAGTGGTAGTTTCCAGTCTAGATGGAAGGGTGAGCTGGTATTAGATGAAAAGGGACAAAAGGGCAGCCCAGATCAAGGAAAGGCAACAGTTGAGACCCAGCACCCTCTGGGCTTAGACTGACCACCTGCCATGTGCCACACCCTGGGGACGCAGCTCTGAGTTGACCACTCACAAATATCTGAGCCAGTACAGGCTGGGAGAGTAGCCATAGGGGGGCCAGGCATCCAGAAGGTGGCCCTAGCAGAAGACCAGAGAGTGACCTACGAAGGCAATGGCCGGGAGGGCAGTGGGACCAGAGGCTGCAGGAGCCAACTACCCCTAGTCCTGTGTCCTCTTCACCTCCCTGCTTCCCAGGATTCTGAGAATGGAAGAGTTTTTCCCAGAGACCTACCGCCTGGACATCAGGGATGAGCGAGAGGCCTTCTTTGCCCTGTTTGATGGTGAGGCCAATGGACACCAGGCAGGTGTGGGGAGCCTGTGGGGAGCCCCCCTGGAAAGACAGGGTCGAGGCTGGGCCAGGGCTGTGATATTGGCAGGGTGGGGCGGGGGAGGGGAGGGCAGGGCCATGGCTCGGTCCAAGGGGAGGCAGGGATGTGGGCAGGGGTTGGGGGCAGGCAGGGCACTAGGAGGGTTGAGGTGGGGTCGTGGTCAGGGTGGGCGTGGTCAGGGCTGAGGCAGTGGTGGGGGTGGGGCCGAGGCCAGCCTGAGGCTCAGGGCAGCGCTCTCCGCAGAGACCCAAACCTGGATTTGCAAGCCCACAGCCTCCAACCAGGGCAAGGGCATCTTCCTGCTCAGGAACCAGGAGGCGGTCGCTGCCCTCCAGGCCAAGACACAGAGCATCGAGGACGACCCTGTCTACCGCAAGATGCCATTCCGGGTGCCTCAGGCGCGGATCGTGCAGAGGTGTGGGATGGGGGTGGGGGGGAGCCACGAGGGAGATCTTTTGGGGGGCCAACCGTGGGCCCCGCTGGTGCCTGTGAAGGTTTGCAGGGGTCAGCAGGTGCCAAGTGAGCGGTTGGTGGTGGAAGGCCATGATGCCCAGGCAGCAAGAGCCTATTTACGGGAAATAGTGCCTATGGCAATTAGTTTTGAATTGCTGAATGATCTCTTCCAGCTAGTAATGGAAACTTCTATGGCCAACAGAAACTGCTCATTAGCGTCCCTCCTCAAGCGGTGCCCAGGGCACACACCCCACATGTCATATCTTACACCTCTGCCCAGCACTTGCCCCTCTCTCCAGTGCCTGTTTGAGCAGGGATGTTTTCATTTCGCCTCATGGTGCAGGGTGGGAGGGGTCTGTATAGCCAGCAGAGGTGGGGGAGTGTCACATCTGTTCAGGGACACAGATAAGATGCCCCCAAGGAACCACCAGCACATGGCCTCTAGACAGAAGCTACAGGGCAGAGGGGTGGGGCTGGAGGGGATGTAGTCAATTTGTCCCTCAGCCTAGCCCTGCCCCTTTGTCCTGCCCCAGCCCCAGCAAACTGCAGCATTTAGGCCCACAGCTCAGCTGATCACTCCTCCCTTGCTGAAGAACTTCCAGGGCTCCCTCTGCCTCCAGGGTGGATCCTACCCACCGCCAATGTGGGTCCTAACTGTCACAGCTGTTCTTCACTGCCCACCCCCCACAAGCCCCTCCCCAGCAGCTCACTCCTGACTCCAAGGCTGATCCTATAGATTCCTCCACCTGGAATCTCCCCTCCCTCCCTTTCCAAGGCCACCCTCCTTTGAAGCCACCCCCTCCTCCTCCAGGTAGCCTCCTCCTCCAGGCAGCCCCTCCTCCTCCAGGCAGCCCTCCTGCCCACTTGGGCCCAGTTTGCTTCCATCCTTCAGACTCCTACTGATAGCAGAACACTCAGTGGGTTGGGATCTAGGAGCCAGGCCTGGAAAGGCTCAGAAATGTCCCCTCACCAATGCTCTCGGCCAAAGGAGGGAGCCTAAGGGTCCCACCTGGGACAGGTTGGGGGGAGAGCACTGAGGAGCTGACAGAGGCCCGGGTGGGGTGAGGACCCCATGATGCAGGGCCACAGGCCAGGCTGCCGTGCAGCTCAGCCCCAGCAGCCCCATGTGCCGGTCCAGGTACATCGGGAACCCACTGCTGCTGGATGGGAAGAAGTTCGATGTGCGCTCGTACCTGCTCATTGCCTGTGCCATGCCCTACATGGTCTTCTTTGGCCACGGATACGTCCGCCTCACCCTCGGGCTCTACAACCTTCACTCCAACGACCTCAGTGGCCACTTGACCAACCAGGTGAGGGCTCCCACTGGTAAGGACCCCCTGACTACAGACAGGGCAGGGCAGTTCACTGCTTGGTAAAACAGAGGGGGTCTAGCCTGTACTGAAATCCCAGGTCCGAAGGTGGCCCGAGCACTGGAGATCCCCAGGTCCAGAGGTAGTCCAGACCCCACAGTGGTCTAGGCTGGCCCCGCCTGCATCAACACAGCCTGTCACCCGCAGTCCAGGCAGCAGAGAGTAGCATGTCCTGCTGTCCTGGTGAAGTGACTTGCAGCCCTGCCCCTCCCCACCCCCAAGCATGTGCCGAATATGGGGCATGAGTGGGCTTCCAGATTCAACGAGGGGTCTCTGGGTGAGGAGCTGTGGTTTTGGTAACAAGAAGTCATGGAGGCCATGGTGCTCAAGGAGGTGGGGGTCTTGAGGAGCCAAGGCTGGTGCAGGGTCCCTGTGAGGCCCTCAGTAGAGAGAGGTCAAAGACAGGGGTCTCTGCAGAGGGTCTTGGTAGGGAGGAGTCAGGGTGGTCACAGCCAGAAGGGAGGCTTCAGCAGGTAAGAATTCCCAGAGGAAAGCTGGTCAGCTGAGGGTCTCGGTGGAAGTCTCCATGGATGGAGGCATCAGTCGAAGGGTCTCAGTGGTCAGGGCCACAGGAGGGTGTCTAGGGGAGTAGGGTCTCTGTGGGTTTCGGGTAGCAGGGCCAGGGCGAGCCTCTTTAGGGAGTTCTCAGCGGTAGAGGGTTGTGGTTCTGTAGGAACCCTCCATGGTGCAGGGCCTCTGGGTGTTCTGGGTGATCTCCAGGCCCTTGCCTTCACTCCCCACCCCAGTTCATGCAGAAGAAGAGCCCCCTGTACGTGCTGCTCAAGGAGGACACGGTGTGGAGCATGGAGCACCTCAATCGCTACATCAACGACAAGTTTAGGAAAACCAAGGGCCTCCCCAGAGACTGGGTCTTCACCACCTTCACGGTCTGTCTGGGGAGGGGGATAGAGGGCACTCGGGCCGGGAGCCAGGGGACAGATCCCTGAGGGTGTGTGTGTTTGTGTGTGCTTGTGTGTGTGTTTGTGCATGTGTGTCTGTGTGTCCGCTTGTCTTTGTGTATGTGTGTGTGTGTGGGTATGTCTGTGTGTCTATGTGTCTGTGTGTGTCTTGTGTCTGTGTATATATCTGTGTGTCTGGAAGTGTGTGTGTGCATTTTTGTGCATATGTGTCTGTGTTTGTCTTTGTGTGTGTATGTGTGTGGGTCTGTGCATGGCTATGCGTCTGTGTGTGTGTGTCTGTGAATATGTGTGTGTGTCTGTGAATATGTGTGTGTGTGTGTGGTGGTGTTATGATCTGTATGGGACTTGGCACAAGGCACATGACTGGGCGTGCGTGACTATACTAAAGAGTGTGTCTAGTGTATAAATGGGTGATGGAATTCAGCCACTTTGTGGTGTCTGCAATTCCTCTCCTCATCGCTCCTTTTTCAAAACTGAGATATAATTCACACAATATAAAATTCACCATTTTAAAGGGTACATTTCATTGGTTTTCACAAGGTTGTGTAACCATCACCACGAATTCCAGAACATTTTCATCACCCCAGAAAGAAATCCTGTACCTATCAGCAGTCATTCTCTCTGCTTCTCCAACCCTTCCAGCCTCTGGCAACCACTGATCTACCTTCTGTCTCTATGGATTTGCCTATTCTAGATAGTTCATGTACGTGGATCATACAATATGTGGCTTTTCACTTAGCATAATGTTTTCAACGGCTCACCCACGGTATAGCATGAATCCTTTTTATGGCCAAATAATTTCTAGTTGATGGACAGTTGAGCTGTTTCCACCTTTTGGCAATTATGAATATTGCTGCTATGAACATTGGTGTACAAATTTCTGTGTGGACATGTTTTCACTTCTCTTGGGTATACACCTGGGAGGAGAATTGCTGGGTCATATGGTAATTCTGTCGCTATACTGCTGCAACTGCTTTGCGAAAGTGGTGGCAGCAGTACATCAACAGGGAACCGCCAGAAGTTGAAGCTGGATTCAGAAGAGGATGTGAAACCGGGGACACCACTGCTGATGTCAGATAGATCTCGGCTGAAAGCAGAGAATACCAGAAAGATGTTTACCTGTGTTTTATTGACTATGCAAAGGCATTCGACTGTGTGGATCATAACAAATTACGGATAACATTGCAAAGAATGGAGAATTCCAGAACCTTTAATTGTGCTCATGAGGAACCTGTACATAGATCAAGACGCAGTTGTTCAAACAGAACAAGGGGATATACTGCATGGTTTAAAGTCAGGAAAGAAGTGCATTAGGGTTGTATTCTTTCACCATACTTATTCAATCTGTATGCTGAGCAAATAATCCTAGAAGCTGGACTATACAAAAAAGAACACGGCATCAGGATTGGAGGAAGACTCATTACCAACCTGTGATATGCAGATGAAACAATCTTGCTTGCAGAAAGTGAAGAGGACTTGAAGCACTTACTGATGAAGATCAAAGACTACAGCCTTCAGTAGGGATTACACCTCGACATAAAGAAAACAAAAATCCTCACAACTGGACCAATGAGTAACATCATGATAAACAGAGAAAAGATTGAAGTTGTCAAGGATTTCATTTTACTTGGATCCACAATCAACACCCATGGAAGCAGCAGTCAAGAAATCAAACGACGCATTGCACTGGGCATATCTGCTGCAAAAGACCTCTTTAAAGTGTTGAAAAGCAAAGATGTCATTTTAAGAACTAAGATGCGCCTGACCCAAGCCATGGTATTTTCAATCGCCTCATATGCATGTGAAAGCTTGACAATGAATAAGGAAGACCAAAAAAGAATTGATGCCTTTGAATTATGGTGCTCGTGAAGAATATTGAATATACCATGGACGACCAGAAGAACGAACAAATCTGTCTTGGAAGAAGTCCAGCCAGAATGCTCCTTGGAGGCAAGGATGGTGAGACTTCGTCTCATGTACTTTGGACAAGTTATCAGGAGGAACCAGTCCCTGAAGAAAGACATCATGCTTGGTAAAAAAGAGGGCCAGCGAAAAAGAGGAAGACCCTCAACAAGACGTTCTGACACAGTGGCCACAACAATGGGCTCAAGCATAGCAATGTGAGGATGGCGCAGGACTGGGCAGTGTTTCATTCTTTTGTACACAGGGTTTGCTATGAGTCGGAACCAACTCAACAGCACCTAACAACAACAACATGGTAATTGTATATTTAACTTTTTGAGGAGCCACCAAACTGTTTTCCACAATGGTTGCATCATTTTACATTCCCACCAGCAATGTATGAGGGTTCTAATCTATTCACATTCTCGCCAGCACTTGTTTTTTGGGAGGATTTTTTCATTCTAATCATTTTAGTGGGTGTGAAGTGGCATCTCACTGTGGCTGTGGTTAAGAGCTCGGCTGCTAACCAAAAAATTTTGGCAGTTTGAATCCACCAGCCGCTCCTGGGAAACCCTCTGGGGCAGTTCTACTCTGCCTATAGGGTCGCTATTAGTCGGAATCGACTCAACAGCAACGGGTTAATGGCTAATGATGTTGACCATCTTTTCATATGCTTATTGGCCATTTGTATATCTTCTTTGGAGAAATGTTTATTCAAAACCTTAGACCATTTTTCATTGTTAAGTTGTAAGATTTCTCTATATATTCTGGATTCTAGACCCTTCTCATGCGTCTGTCAGTTTGTTGGACTGTGGAGGCTTGTGTGTTGCTGTGATGCTGGAAGCTATGCCACCAGTATTCAAATACCAGCAGGGTCACCCGTGGCGGACAGGTTTCAGCTGAGCTTCCAGACTAAGACAGATGAGGAAGAAGGACCTGGTGGTCTACTTCTGAAAAGAATTAGCCAGTGAAAACCTTATGAGTAGCAGTGGAACAATGTCTGATATAGTGCCGGAAGATGAGCCTCCCAGGTTGGAAGGCACTCAAAAGACGACTGAGGAAGAGCTGCCTCCTCAAAGTAGAGCCGACCCTAAAGACATGGATGGAGTCAGGCTTTTGGGACCTTCATTTGCTGATGTGGCATGACTCAAAATGAGAAGAAACAGCTGCAAACATCCATTAATAATCAGAATGTGGAATGTACAAAATATGAATCTAGGAAAGCTGGAAGTCGTCAAAAATGAAATGCAATGCATAAACATCAATATCCTAGGCATTAGTAAGCTGAAACGGACTGGACAATCGAATTGGACAATCAAATGATCAACTATGCCGGGAATGACAACTTGAAGAGGAATGGCACTGCATTCATCGTCAAAAAGAACATGTCAAGATCTATCCTGAAGTACAACGCTGTCAGTGATAGGATAATATTCATATGCCTACAAGGAAGACCAGTTAATACGCCTATTATTCAAATTTACGCACCAACGACTAAGGCCAAAGATGAAGAAATTGAAGATTTTTACCAGTCTGAAATCGATCGAACAGGCAATCAGGATGCATTGATAACAACAATTGTGTTAATATATCAACAACTATGAGCATAGCGCAGGACCAGGCAGTGTTTTGTTCTGTGGTGCAATAGGGTCGCTGTGAGTCCAAACTGACTTGACGGCACCTAACAACAAAAACAATTGTCTGTTCCATTATCCATTGCCTAAGGCAGCTGCAGTGTTAAAACCAAAACCAAAATCCACTGCCATCAAGTTGATTCCGACTCATAGCAACCCTATAGGACAGAGTAGAACTCCTATAGGGTTTTCCAAGGAGCAGCTGGTAGACTTGAACTGCCAACCTTTTAGTTAGCAGCCACAGCTCTTAACCACTGCTCCACCAGGGCTCCAGTGTTAAAACACTTGCCTGTAAATGCTCTCGATAAACATTCCCCAGGGAAGGCTTTTAGCAGGAGGCAAAATCTGAATCAGGTTAAAATAAAGATAAGCCTTTCAAGGGGTGTTTTCCTGGGCAAAACAAATAATTACAATTCTTTGTGAATGAGGTCTGTTCTGCTCCCTCCAGTACTAGGAAAGTGGGCTGTTATTTTTCAAGGCTACTGCTGAGCTGGGAAGCAGGGTATGGGTCTAGGCCAGGTTAAAACGCCACAAAACTCGCTGTTCTTCTGAGATTCAGCCGCTTTTCCTGAATAAATGCTCCCCAGGTTGCTGCAAACCTTTGGTTAATTTTTAGAGTTCTGAAAAAGTTTATTCTGACCATGTTTTCCAGTTTTTTGGGAAGATGCTTTTATGGAGAAGTGAGTTTTTGGAGGTCCTTACTCCACCATTTTTGATGTCCTTGTCTCCCTTGAACCTACTCCCTTGCGGCTTCACCCCGTGCTGTGCCACCGAAAGACTTGTTGAGGTCACCAGTGACTCCACCTTGCTAAATCTAGGGGTCAGTTCCCAGCCCTCCTCTTACCTGACCCGTCAGCCGCTTTGGACACAACCACTCACTCCGATGCACTTTCTACTGTGGCTTCCAGGACCCTACCTGTTCCCTCTTGGCCCCCTGTGCTGGCCCCTCATCTCCTGACCTCTGCACACTGGAGGCCCAGGCTCAGCCAAACACTTTTCTCTTTATCTGCACCCATTGGTGATGGCAGCCTGTCTCTTGGTTTTAAATTCCATTTATATGCTTACGACTCCACATTTAACCATCTGGGCCTGACCTCTCTCCTGAACTCATCTTCCATCCACTGCCTGTCAACACCCCACCTGCAAGCCCACGGATGTCTCAGACTCCATAGCCTTTCTCCCCTTCTCGATCGATCCAGACTCATCCTTCCAGAGTCTCAGATCAAACACCTAGGGATCATCTCTCACTTGTCTTTCACAGCTCACGATCCATTCATCAGCCAATCTGGTTGGCTCTACGACAAAATATATCCAGAATCTGCCCTACCACCTCCACCTGCCCAAGCCACCACCATCTCTCACCTGGATTATTGCAACAACTTTCCCCTGGCCCCTTCTGTCTCTTCCCAGCAAAGCAGACAGAAGGACCCTAGGAACACACAGGCAGACATGTCCCCCGATGCTCAACCTGCAACACTCTCAGAATAAAAGATCCTTCCCGTGTCCCCTTGCTCTGACTGGCACCATGTCTGTGGCCTCGCCACCTACTCTCCCCTTCTGTTCTCCACCCAAGTCACAGTGCCCTTGCTGTTACTTGAACACTCCACGCATGTGCCCACCTGACAACTGTTGCTCTTCCCCCAGATGTCACATGCCCCTTGGCTCCTCCTCCTGTTCCCTGCTCACTATCCCCACAATGAGGCACAGCCAGGCCATACCCCATTTTACATTATACCTCCCAGAACTCCTGATCCCCTTACCCTGCTTCATTTTTCCCTTAGCATTTATCACCTATTATGCTACACAACATATGTAATAATTTCTGTATTACATGTGTCTGTCTCCCCTGGTATGAGGGAGCTGTTCAAGGGCATAGATTCCTTGTACACTTTGTTCCTTGTACGCGTCATACAAGTTCTATGAATTTGTTGAATAAATAAAGCTGGTGCGAATGAGTTTCTGGCTGTGAACATGTGACTCTGAGAGTCTAAGTGTGAAAGTGTGAAGTGTAGCTATGCAGGTGAGGGTACAGATGCGTGTGCAGGTGAGAGGCATATATGTGAGTGTGCAGGTGAGGTACAGGTGTAGCTGTGCAGGTCCCTGTGCAGGTGAGGGTATAGGTGGGTATGCAGGTGGGAGCTGCAAATTAGGGATGTGGCTTGACTTCAGGCTGGGAGGTGACAGGCAGGTGGCGGTCCCTCACCGACAGTCCCCCACCCACAGAAGCGGATGCAGCAGATCATGGCCCACTGCTTCCTGGCCGTCAAATCCAAACTGGAGTGCAAGCTGGGCTACTTCGACCTCATTGGCTGTGACTTCCTGATCGATGAGAACTTCAAGGTGCGTTTTAACACGCAGGCAGTGGGGCCAGGTTGGTAGGTGCAAGCAGGCAGGGTTGGTAGGTGAAGTAGGTAGGGGCCATCTGTGCATACCTGACTGTCCAGCCAGACCCCATCGTGCCCCACCCAGCCCTAGGGGTGGGCATGTCCAAGAGGCTGAGCCCCTGCTCCCACTGGGACAGAGTTATACTCCCTCCTCAGGGCAGCCCCCAAGCCCAGACAGACTCTTACAGCCTGAGCTCCTAGGCAAATAGGAGGAATGAGGCCACAGACACAAGCGCCCTGTTCGAGGGCACCCAGCTTAATGGGGACCAGGGCCTCAGCCTCCTACTGGCCAAGCAGGCTTGGGGATGGGGGCTACTGACCCGTGTTGGTCCCAGGTGTGGCTGCTGGAGATGAACTCCAACCCTGCTCTGCACACCAACTGTGAGGTCCTGAAGGAGGTGATCCCGGGCGTGGTCGTGGAGACCCTGGGTGAGCCCCTAGGGAGGAGCCCCACCCCCACCCCCAGGGCCCTCAACCCCTGGCCACTGCCCTCCCATGCGCAGACCCCCACAAACCTGACCCTTCAACATAGAAGGAGGGCCTGCCTAGAACCCCACACCCCTGCTCATGCCTGCAGGAAAAGATCAGCCTGCCCCCCACCTCATCTCCGGAACATCTGGAAAAGCCTGAGTCGCCCTCCTCACTGTCCTCACCCCTCCCCTTGCCTATCCCCCCAATGCCGCTCACTCATCCTCCGCTACACCCACAGACTTGGCGCTGGAGACCTTCCAGAAGAGCCTGCGCAACCAGAAGATGCTGCCCCTGCTGTCGCAGCGCCGCTTTGTGCTTCTTCACAACGGCGAGACGGACCTGTGGCCGCGCCTGGGTGGTTCGCGCCTGGCCTGCCGCCCCCCGCCCGCGCCGTCGGGGCCCAGGCCAGCCTGCGAGACCTCCCCCTCGG